GAAAAAATATAATGTTCAACTCATAAGCGTAGATTTGCAGTATTAGTCTGCGCACATGCTATTTTTATAATACTCGTAGACAATGAGTAACATTTTTTGCTCTTTTAACAATATATTCTATTTCAACATTTTACTGTAATCTCTTGCAGAAAAGTCCATAGTAAATAAACGCTAACGAAATATTCTATAAAAGGTCTTCTCTTTACATAAAATGTCGTGGCATCTGTTTGATATTAAAAAATCACGATAATTTGATTTCATAATACAAAATTCGATTAAACACCTTTTAAATAAACCTAATAGTTCATTAAGTTGCTAATAAACAAAGTCCGGTCCCTGTCACAGAGTTCGGGTCGCCGCGTGTCGCCGCCCAGTTCCCCCACTCCGTTAACCCTTCTTTAGAAATTGGCAACATTTGCGCAGGTTTAAAACCGGTGTATGTTATATCTCTGGTCTCTTTTATCTAAGGTGTTCTCAAATTAGTTGAGAATAGTTGAAAGTATAATCTAAGTTGTGATCATGGGCGTCGTTACACAATTCTATAGGGGGGGCAAAATTTTGAAATGTTTATTTGTTGAAAAACAAAGGAAATGAAAAATAAAAGAAAATTTTCTTATGATGGATTTAATTTTTCTGTGACGTCATGGCTTACTTACAGCTTTTCCAGAAATAACAGAAAATCGCAATTTATTTTTTATTTTTAAATGAAAAACATTTTTTATTGAAAATTTGAATTTCTGAGACATTTTTGGGGCGTTTATTGAACATTTTCTGTAATATATTAAAAAAATATATCTTCCAATATGATGGTCATTTTTATAGCTGACAGAATAAAATTTTCAACGCATGATTCTTTTCCATAAATGTTCCCGAAATTCAAATTTTCAATAAAAAAGGGGATTCTATTTAAAAATTAAAAATAAATTGAGATTTTCTGTTATTTCCGAAAAACCAGAAGTAAGCCAAGACGTCACACACCAATTGAATCGAGTATGTGACAGTATTTGTTCCAAGCTTTTAAACAAAAAAGTTTTCATTCCAATATCTCAATTAACAACGAAGATAAAAGCGGATGGAATTATTAAACGGTTTGCTAATAGTAAAAATGCTTAGATGTGCCACTGGTATACGAAAAATGGGTCTCAATGGGAATTTTGAATCTTACAAAGATTTTATAAAGATCGTACATTTTTATAATTTTTTCCATAAACGAATTAATACTGACATGTTTAGAAAAAATATTATCCAATATGGCGACCATTTTGACAGCTGACAGAAAATTTTCAATACATGATTAATATACAAAAATTTTTAAATTTACAATAAAAGAGAGGGTTTCCATTTAACAATAAAAAAATTTAGATTTTCGTTATTTCCGGAAAAACCGGAAGTAAGCCAGGACGTCACAGAATAATTGAATCAATCAAAAGAAAGTGTTTGTTCCAGTTTTTCAAACAGAACAAAATTAATCAGGTATCTCACTGAATAGTGAAGATAAGGGGAGTGGAACTTTAGTAGTAACCCTAACAATGTCACTGACCCATTTGACAGAACTGATACTTAAGTTGTCAACGAGTCTTTAATAAATAAAATAACCAAACAAAAAAGACAAAAACAAAAATTAAAAAAAACAAGAAACTTAAAGCACATTTTTAAAAACAAACAGAAGGTGTGATATAAAAGAAAAATATGAACATAATAATATTAAAAATAAAAATTTATAAAAAACAAAAACAAAAAAACTCACTCAAATATGTCAATGAATACAAAAAAAAAACACTAGGAAAATGCAAATTTAAAATTTTTTTTTTCTCTACTAAAAACATCGATAACGGAAAACAAAATTTATTTTTCAGTCAGCCTATTTTCATTCATTATTCACTCCGTGCGTGACAGCAACGCCAACTATTTTATAACTAACGGACGATATGTGCGTATACTGACAATACAATTTTTAATAGAGTTCGTAATTAAGAAATATATGTAAATTTTAATTTTAAAACAAGTGAAAAAATTATTATTATTATTATTATATATTTTTATTACTTTAGCTAAAAAAAGTCAATAAAAATCAATAATAAAACATAGGCAGGTATTTCCTCGTAAATAGAGATCTTGCCTGAGCATAATAAGTTGTTATTGAAGAATAGGTTAAATAATGTCAAAATAAAAATATTACCATTATATAATAACGTAGAATTAAAACGTAATAACAAAAATAATTGGTATATTTGCGATTGTAATTTATATTTTCTTCATTTTTAGTTCGAAAGAACCCATAGAAATTAATGAATAAAACTGGTTTCCTATCAATAAATCACAAGATTGCATGTCAGCCATATACAATAATTAAAGGCAGAAATATATTCATTTACTAAACTTTTTAGATTTAAGGGATGTTAAAAAATATCATAAAAAAATAATTGCTTAATTATTACAAAAATAAAGGTTTTTTGTTCTTATTATACAGCTGTCCATTTATTTCTTTTATTTAATTTCAATTTTGCTACTGAACATTCATATAATTTACAGTCTTTTTGCTAGTATAATTTGTAACATAGCAACTCCTGTTGCTCATTTTATTGTCTTTACCTACTTTTTTAATAAAAAGTAAAATGTATACGTGTATTTGATACGCCAAAATTACAAAATATCGCCCTAAAATACTCGAATTATCCGCAGCTTGCGCTAGTATCGCTTTTACTTCCCCTACCATGACTTCGCACTGATCGAATAAACCGCAGCCATGTTTTAACATGCCTAAGTGTTCCAAACGTTCTTTCGATTAACTCTGTCGTTGGTGGAAGAGCCATAAATATTTTTTAAACCATTTTGTATGTCTAAATAAAATTCACAATATTTGGACGCTATATCATCAATGGAGAGCTCATTGTGTGCAGAAAGCTCTTCCGTATTCCAGTTTGGTATTCAGCTTCAAAATTGTCGATTCCAAATTTTTCCACTACTTTCATTTTGTTATCGGTAGTGAAAAAAGTATTTTTTATGTTTTTGGGATGTACATGCTTAAGGAAAAACTAACAAAGTCTTTGGAAAAGCGGAACCCAGATATGCAATAAATATATTTAACCTATAATATTCTTCAACTATATTAGCCTGAATATTATTTCTATGAGATTGTTGTTCGTAATGCATATCTTATGCGTTGTTGATTAAGCCGTAAAAGCCAGGGGGGCAACTGCCCCCCCCCCTTGCCCCCCCCAAACGACGCCCATGGTTGTGATACAATTTATATTCTGAAAATCAACTAAAAAAGTATTCAAATTAATTATTGAAAATACAATAAATTTATCACACTGATTATTGTAGCCTAATTTAAGTGATCTTAATTCATTTTTAAATTCAACTATGTCAAAACCTGTAACATGTTTGTAGTATATTCTATACAAATATTAATGTGTTAGTTATTTATTTTTTTTGTTATAGGCGTGTTTTTAACAGAACTATTTTTTACACCACTACCTTGCAATTTTCTCTAGTTCACCAGAAATGTAACTACAATAACCCTTTTCTTCTTTATTTAAAACAATTCTATCTTAATATTTTTGTGTATATGAATTAATTTTCTTTGATGTTTAAGTACGAAATTGACTTATTAAAAATGCGATGATGATGGGCATTTTGTGTTTAGGATTAAAGGAGAAAATTTGCTTTCGTGAAATATTACAGTAATAAAAAGACGAGAACAACGAAGTTTTTCCTTGCAATTTCGTTATTAATTTTCATTTTATAAAGAGAATTTTTTATGGTTATTCCAGTGATGTTAGTCGTCTTAATTTTGAACTTTTACTTGCCAACGAGTTAATTAAAGTTAGTATAATATTGCAGATATTCATTGCTATTTAGCCTTTCTTTTTCGGGTAAACACAGGACTCGTAATTGAACTTTTCAAGTGATAAAATGTTATTTCACAATAGCAGAAAAAAAAAACACATGTATAAAAAATATCAAGCTTTTACTAACATGTGTTCGATTGGGGAACAGCAATTTCGTTGTCTTTGTTTTTAAGTAACTTTTAGCCTCTAAATACAAAAATAAATCTAGTTTTTGTCTATTACGTAAAATGTTTAGGCTACAAGTAACCTGTAGCTTAAAATTTATACAAAATATGCATATAAAAAAATAAAGGGAACACTTATCAAATACAATGTTCACAAAGGACAGTTTTATACTTAAAAAGGGGTCATTTTCATTAACTTCTAATTTTTACCTATCAGTACTTTAAAATAACTGACAACAAATTCAGGTGTCCTGTATTTTTTCCTAAATTATTGTAACTGTGTAAAATAAGGTTTTAACCTTGGAAGTCGAAAAAAATACTGATCAAAACTTTTATTCACTGATTTGGTTGCACATTTGAGACAATTTAACATTTTGGTCACGCACAGAAAACTGCCAAAAAAAATTGAACAATGAACCTTTTAATTTTTTTTTAGAGTAAAATACATTGAGTTTTATTTAATAAATGGTTTTACACCATATACTACTACTTTTTATAAATTTATCAAGGATAAAACAGCAGTTTTATTAATATTTAAAAAAAAAACACGCAAATGTTTTCTAGTTTTCCACAGCATACAAAAATAATGTATTTGAAAATCCTTTTAATTTGAAGAAGCATGTTTTGTACTATCTAAAAAACAAAAAGGATTTGATCTAACTTTTCGATAAAATATTTTTTCTTAATTCTACCGAGTGTGACCAAAATGTGAATTGGGGACCGAAATGTGAAATAAAGACCGAAAAATAAAATTTTATTTAAAAACTATTAACTGTACTTAACAACTAAGTAAGAAATTTAATTAAAAATACTGAACATTCAAATGTTTAAAACATTAAATACAGTTAGAGTACGGTAACTAATTTTATTCAAGTGCTTCTAATAAAGAATCTATTTCGCTTATATTCTCGAATTTAAATAGCCGATATGTTGTCTTTATTAGTGCTTTCAAAGTACAAATAATTTTTTTTTCTGGAATTATTTAAACATCCATCTTTTGAGGCAACGATTTCCGCATAAATGATATTACAAGGTTACTGCCTTCAACTCTTAATATCTGCCTTGGGAACCATTCGGAATTAAACACCACGGTAACCCAATGTCCTTCCTTTTTTGGACTGTCTTTCGCGACATCTGCTACAACAGACTCCTCAACAGTTTTATTATCTAAAATTATTACGTAAAGGAAAATTTCAACTTTAGTTAAAGAAACCCAACACATCCGCATGTCATTCATTTGGCACTGATTTGGAAATATACTGTTATGCAAACAAATCTCTTTGCATTGACAAGATGAAAGCTCCCTTAAGTTTAATACGTTTTTATTTGCTTTCTCCCACGTCACTTGGTGAAGTTGCATCATCTTTGGCAGTGGTTTTATGTTTTTCTGATCAAAAGCAGTATCGATTGATGAAATATTTTCTTCGTTTACCTGATAAATTTTTATTTAATTTAAATTGTTATTAGCCATTTCAATAAATTGTTTAATTCTAGCTACATCCTTTCCCTTAGACACTTCTCTATCAGCTGTTCGCTTAACCACATCACCAACACCGTCGTCGACACTCTTGCCATGGCCTGACTCGAAGAAGTTTCAAGATGAATGACTAAACCCTAGCTGCATGGAGCAATGAATGAATAAAAAAAAATTCTTTTTATTTCTATACTGAGTAGTTGATCCATCACTCATAAAATGGAAATTGTCAATCCTGGGATGATTTCTTTGAATATCTCTTATGATGGGTAATATATTAACCCAAACAGTACTGGGATCATGACGAAGACACATAGAAACCGTGCAGAAAGTCTGACATTTAGTTTCTTCGCCTTCTTTGTAGTAATATGCTCCAGTGTGTAAACTTAGTTGAATTTTTGACGCTCCAAAGTGTACGCTTTGGACTTCATCTGCGTACTTAAGTGAGTAAATATACTTCGTTTTGGGCCAAATTATGTTTGATATTTTTCAAAAAAAGTCCCTGGTGGTTAACCCTGTATGAGAGTTTTATAAGTTTCATCTTTCATCTTGATAACCAACTCTTCTGCAGTAGTTCTTAGTCTTTCTTTCTTCATAACTTTAACTTTATTTTCAGTACCTTTAATAGTTCGAGTTTCTGTGGTATTAGACCATTGAAAATAGTGCAGAGTTGAACTGGAACTTACAAATTCAAAGATGGCTGAGATGTTTTTTATTTTATATTTGCTACATTCTCCATACATGCAGGCACGTACAATATTAGAGCAACAAAGTTGCTCTGAGAGTTTTTGCAGAGAACTTGCATTATTAATAATTCGGTACTAAGTTAAAATACGTAGTAGGAACCCAAAGTTTGCATGCTTAATGCAGAGGCACGTGTCCCTGCTTGTCAAACTGGGAAATGTAACCCAAAATGGTCTTAGCCTTGTAAAAGTTGTGTATGAAATCTTAACATTATAGTTTTCTTGCCTAAACTTTATATACATATTTAGAAGGGTGTCTGTTAAATATCTTCTTTGCTTAACAGTGCCATCTTTAGTAGCTTTATCTTTTTTGCCTGGAGTACAAATATAGTTTGAATCATTCTCGGGAAATGCACCAACTCGTTCTTTTAATTTCATTGTGATAGAAGCTCTTTGTCGTTTGTTTAGATTAATTCCTTTTGATTTGGACGTAACTTTTCTTTGGTAGTACTTAGTGGCCAATCTTTTAGTGGCCTCTACCAGTTTGTATTTGTTTATAAGAGGACCAGAAACACATGAAGACAAAATTTCCTTTTGTTGTGTGGTTGTACAATCTTTTTTGTTTTGATCGATCTGTTCAGTCAGTACCTCTCCTATGAGTAGTTTTCCTTTATAGAATGAATTAATTCATTAAAAAAGGTAACACAGTTTTTAAAAGAGCTCAAAAATCGAACAGAAATTGTATTACAAATTGTTCTCAGTGTTGGATTTCGATTTTACAGAGTATCTAAAAATTTCCGGATTGACCCTCGTATAAGCTTATGACAAACAAGTCAACAACATAAGTCTGAACAATAGACTTTGGTAAAAAGTTATCCAAGAATGGAGTGAAGTTATTACTCTATCAACATAAGCATTAACAGAATCCAAAGCTGTGGTTACCAAAAAGCAGTCTGTAAAGATAAGAAGTAATATATTGTAGCAGCATTTTATATAAAAGTGGGGTGGTTGGCTTGACGTGGTTTTATTTTCATTATCTTTAAAACGCTTCCGCCATGCATCATCTGACTGGGTTTCGGCCAAGCTGAGAAGCACGTAATGGAGTAGGCAAAAATGTACTTTTGCATGTCACCGAAACATCAGTGGCGCTTCATTTAATAACCGAACTCTAAATTTTAAATTAAATTAATTAATAAATATTATTATTTAATTATTTTTTATTGATATTGACGTCTAGAAGCATATATTTCATTGCCGGCAAAAAATGAAACAATGTATTCATAAGTAACTTTACTTTAAATTTGACAGATCACATGATCGCTCCCATCACCGGGATATAGTATTTTCCATAATCTGTAACGTATTCTAATTTGTTGTAGGTAATATTCAAATAAATAAATTAAATGTAATGACAAGATAACATTAGTACCTTCTCTTTTATTTGACATGGAGTCTTGGCGGTAAACTTTATACTCATTGCAAATTATTTCACTGTTTAATATTGTTTTTTTTTTTAAGTTACAGTGAGACAAAATGAAAAAACAAGAAAGTCAAATCAACGAATCATTTATTATCTCCATTAAAATTCATAAAAACAAACTTCTCCAAAACTTTCAGATGAAATCCCCGACCGATTTACATGAGAAGAAATTTCAAATCAACTGAGAATTTTCCACATCAAGTATTTTTCTTTCATAAAAGTTAACGTCCAAGGTAATTATTTTCCATGCCGTACGACCAAAAAATGAATTAAATTTGACAAATGACTTGTCAACTTTTCTACACGTTTTTGGTAGCAAACAATTCCTAATTGTGAAATCTTTTTGGGATTCGGATGTTTTTCTCACGACAAGCAGTGGCGTAACAAGCTATAAAATGAAATTAACTCAAGCTGGCATAAAATTAACCATTAATTTATTTTCCAAAAGTTTTCGGTCCTGAATATAATCAAGTAATTAACAATGTTTTGAAAATGTAAAGAAAATTTTAAAAAACAAGAAATTTGTTATGGAACAATAACGTGACTTATATACCAGGGTGAGTCAGAAAGTTTTTGTTAATTAATCAAACTATTCTCTGTTTTATAATATCAATTAATAGATTTTAGAGGTTATGTGCTGTGACCAATGATATGTATACAGACAGATTGATCACCTCGAAAAGCAGGTTACAATGGAAATTGTTTTCTCCTTATCTAGTATGTGCAATGTTCATTGATCATTTCTTAATAACAATATCTGTAAATAGATGAGTGAGCTAGAGGGTAATAAAACTGCAGGATTGGTATATCGCTATAAAAGAACAACAATGCAATATATTCATATTATAGAGTAACACATTTTGTCCGATTTATGAACCGTACGTTTCATAACAAATTCATTTCAATATTTCTCTTATAATAAAATTATAAGAGCCCATTATTTATTTTATTTACTACTAAGTACCCTGTCAACTCTTACAAATTATAGTTATTAGTTATTAACATAAGCCATTATATTACCTACCAAGAATTAAATGATTATCGTCACGTTATCAAATGTCAAATTTCATTTTGCTCTATAAATATTACATAAAATTCAGTTTCGTGCCTTATTGATATTAAAATAAATATATTAATATATAAAATAATATCATTCTATTTTATTAGAACCTTTTGTCAATGTAAAAGTCGTGTTTCACAAAATAATTTTGGAGTATTTTACAAGGATTTTTAGATAACAATGGCGGATTTTCGTTACATCCATACGATATTCAGAATCACCCCTGTTTCTTTTATTTGAATTGGACCAGTAATAACAAAGACATTCGCTAATGCTTTGTTGACTAAGTTACCACTAAGGGATATTTTGTAATTAAGTAACGTGACGAATGAAGTAACTATGAAGACTTGATTTTCTATTCTAATATAATGGCAGTAATAAAAAATAAAACATCTTTTTTCTAATTTTGACATATATACCTAGTGACATATTTTTTAATCGCAGAAAGTGAAAACGACCTACTTTATGCAGCCAGCTGCATGAAGTAGAACATTACGAAAAGTTGATTATGTCACTAGTTACGAAATGAAAATATATAAAAATGGCTTTTTTGGTTTTAAATCGAAAAATCGTAAAGTTAAAAAATCAAAAAATCGAAAAATCAAATAATCGAAAAAAGGCAATGACATTTCACATTTGACAATTAGGCATTACGTTTAACAACAAAGAAAAAAACTAAAAAATAAAAGCTGTAACGTTTTATTTTTTAAATAATTGAACACTGTTATTGAAAACTACCCATAAATATTAAAGGTAAAATTTTGACGTACTCCTTTAAGAATAACGGGTAAAGTCGTTTTTTTTTTCAAATTTCTCGCGGGTAATGTCAAAAATCAGCTTATAAAAATATTTTTGGGACTGAATATGATTTTTAGAAATTTCGTGATCTTTTAGACTTAATTCAGATGCTTTCAACTTTTAAACCCCTTCTTTGAAAATTAACTAAGTACACAACCAAAAATTTTGCAGCAAAAGCAATATACGTAATTTTTTAAGACAGAGTACACTAGCCAATCTCTTAAAATTTGCTCTCTGGCTAACTTTCCTACCAGTCTCATTGTATGGAAATTTATAATTGTACAATGGTCAGGCTTGCACAGCTCAGATTTTTAAAGAGATAGTTTCAAACACAAACATCTTCACGCTCTAATACATTTAACTAATGGATTTACAATGTTAGCCTACAAGAAAAAACTACAGCGTAATGGTACACGGCTCCATTCAAAAACAACTATCAAGAAAATAATTTGCTTGGACCATGCCGTTGGTGTCCTCAGATACATCACCTGTGCTGATGGACAAAAGCCGCTTGGAAAAGACGGAGATGGTCTTACAGGTACACCTCATTCTCATTACGATAGAAGAGTATTCAAACAAGATTGATTACATTCCCGAGGAAAATAGTGTCTTAGTACGCACAGAAATTTCAGAATAAGCATCTGAAGCTGTAAAAGACTTAGAAAAATACACGTCTGAACATGAACTTCATGATTAATCTACATGTAAATGTAATAGAGGTGCCGAAGGAATGAGGCGGAGGGAAGAAGCTAACGAGAAACGAAGACAATTTTACAAAACAGAACGGGGAATGAAAATTAGGAATAATTACAAAGAAAAACAAATTAAGAAAAAGAAACTAATTACAAGTTTACTGAAAATGGGCCTAAATAAAAAAGCTGAGCTTCAAAGAGAGACAATTTTGAAACTCATTGAGTTACTGTAAATACTTAATACTGTTACTTTAAAAATATAATTTTGAAACAAAATATATTTTATTTTCATTGTCCAATGTTGACTTTACCCTATTACAAATAACTTTCCCCCATTTGAATGATTAGCAATATTTGTCCAATATTTACTTAAATGTCCACACCAGCATTCTACTGTCCAGAGTGAACTACACGTTTTCCATTTAAAAAGCCAAGATCCTATGTAGCACCAGTATTATGAAATAGGCATTCCTATTTGATTTTCATTCATTTTAAGCACTTTCTCAGCGATTTATCGATGTTCCAAAGAACATTTACCGAAGATGACGTCAAATATGTGATCCTCACGTTCTACCGCTTCATTTGATGTATTACACGTAGTTCTAGCGCGTCATCAATTTTAAAATAACGTTTGAATGACAGATTCATTATTACCATGTTGCATTACATTACATACTCAAAAATTATAAAAATTGGAGACACTAATTCAAAAAAGTGACAATAAGGCACAATGAATGGTAAATTCATATTATTAGTATGTCACGTGACATTTCCCTTTCAAAAATCATTAGAATTGGAAATATGAAAGATGGTGGGATACCTGTATGTAGTAATACACTGTGCGTCAAAGAAAACGGGCCACTCAAAAAACTGACGAAATTATCTATCTTGTCAAGTCATGCCGACCCTGTAAAGATCATAAACAAATTTTCGGAACCGAGTAAACCAAAAAATTTATCACCCGTAAATTAAATTTCATAAAAGTGACTGTTTTGAGAACTTTATGAACTTCTACTGTGTTCTAAAGAGTATTAAAGGTATTTTTGTACTACACGGGTCCTCGTAGAGTAAAATGTAATCCTTAAAAATGGATAAAAAATATCGAAGAGCTATTCACATTGTAACATTATTGGAAAATGGAGCAAGTCAACGGGATGTGGCGAGATAATTAAATGTCAGTCGTTCTACTGTGCGACCAGCGATTATCGCCGACGACCCGGTACAGGTGCTCAAAAAAAAACAACAGCTAAGGAAGATCGCTTTACTCACCATTGCTGCTTTACGAGACCGAACCCAAACTGCTAGAATGCTCCAAAGCAGTCTTCAGCAAGCTCATGGAACGGCAGTCGGTACTTCTACTATTCGGCGAAGGTTAACAGAAAGTGGTTTGACAGCTTGCAGTCCAGCTACAGGACCCTTGCTTACTGCAGCACACAAAAGACGCAGACTTGCTTTTGCTCGCGAACATATGAATTGGACAGTGGACGATTGGAAAAATGTACTGTTCACGGATGACTGTAGAATTTGCATATATAGAAGATATGGTCGAAATAAGGTTTACAGAAGAGCTGGAGAACATTATGCTGCCTGTACTCGGTCACCTTAAGTTGCTTTTGGGGGTGG